ATCTTGGGAGGGGAAGGCGACCACCGATAACTGATATAATGGCTGAACGTCTTTGAGCATTATCCACCCCAAAAAATCTAAGTAAACAGCGAGTGGAGCCGGGCTTGTTTATTTAGCACAGCTGTTAGCAACTATGAAGCTAAGCAAATCAGATCCATGCAATAACTAGTCCCACACTATTCTTCCTAACATGCATTCACATTTTCTATCGACTATTAACCATAAAGTTATCAATTGTGTTACAAAAATATAAATTAAACAAAGAAACGCCCTTCCCTGCTCATTGTTTACACAGTCAGTCATGTATGATGGTCTAATTAGTATTGAACACAGTAGCAGGTCTTTTTTCTTTGCAGAGAAGTAAAGATTTCAGACAATGCATTTCATTGAGGACAACAAAGATAACATTACTAACACTGATATATTTTACATCTACATTAGATTTATTGTTCTGAATAAAGTTTTACAAGGCAATAGTTTATGCTAGGTTATCTAGATGTTAGCTTGCTAACTTGAGAGGCATGTAGCTCATGGCAGGTAGGTTGGAGGATTGAAGAGAATTTATTATTGTTTTTTTTTTTATAGATCAGTTCAAATTAACTTACCATGTTCTGTTCAGGTTCAGCAAAATACACCACACAGTATTGCTCCCTGCTTCGTCTGTGCTGAAAGTGAAACTTAAGTGACCGGCTATGACTTAAAGTAGTTTTTATGCACCCTCTGCTGGATACATTGTACAATTACGGCTGGTTCCAGCATTTTAGTGGTGAAAATTAGAAGTGTTTATATCAACACATAATGGGACAATTATCATCAATACCGATATGTCCCCAAACATCTATATTGGCCTAAAATATCAGCCCTATTGATATATCAGTTGGGCTCTAATCTGTTCGTGGCTTCAGGTTTGGATTAACCATTAGCTTGTCAATCAGGTCAGAATTATATTCTGCTTCTCTAAACTAAAGCTGTTTAAAGAGCCATCTGCAGTAGGTGAGATATTTACCGTTCATCACCTTTGAACGCCTCCTTTGTGTTAAAACCTGCTGTTTTCCTCTTAACTCATATCAAAGCATCGGTATGGCTGGAAATTTCCAGCTGTGAAAATGAAATTATGTACAATATATTTAAAATACAGTTCAATCCACTAATGTTTCTGTAATTCTAACAGTTGTGGTGCATGCCGACTGTGATCTCGGCCGCTGACGATGTTTCAGAAGGACCTCAGTTCCTCCTGAGGTTAATTTTCCGACACGACTGTAACCTTTTCCTTTTCCTCTTCCACCATAATTAAGGCTCATTGTAAATCAATGAATACGACCAGAAGCAGCATGATGGACAATTAGCATTTATTTGAGTTCAGCTTGGTTTGATATTCAGAGTGTTTGTCATCCATCAAATATAAATCACAGTCGCACATCTGGGACGTCCTTGTTTCAGGGGGCGTTTCATCGATCACCTCCTACAGTAAAATTAGTTCCTCTACAGGAATTCAAGTCAAATGTTTTACTATGGACACAGTCGATGAAAGGAATCTGCAGTTTTGCAATTACCTTTAAAACGTCCTCATAACATCCATAAAATATCTGAAGATCTGTTTATTACATAAATATAAATGATAAACATTTTAGCAATACTGTAGTTTTTTTTTGTATTTAGCAAAACAGATGTTTACAGCCAGAGTAGCCCTAGATTAAAGGATACTTTTGATGCTGGTTTGTAGTTTAATCCAGATGTTTACATACTCTGTATGAAAAGACGGGTAACTATTCTTTTCCTCATTGTTTGACAATAAATCTGACTAAACCTTTCCTGTTTTAGGTCGGTTAGGATTCCTAAAATTATTTTTATTTGCTAAATGCCTGAATAATTAAAGAGCTGGATTATTAGACAGTTATGTTCTTCAAAGTCACCAGTTTATACTAAGATTATTATAATCCCGTAAATGGTTTTGGAAAGCCCAGATGATGTGGATTTGAAAGCTTTTGATTAGTTAGTTGATAATGTTTGAATTAAGCAGAGGCTCGCCTGTGGATGGATTTTAAGGCGCATATCGAACACATTGCTTCTTTGTGTGGCATCGTGGGAAACAAATCAGCTAAGCTGTCAACATCCGTTCACGACCACAACTCCTCTGCTACAAGTTTCAGAAGACTGAAGGTGTCACGTCCATCTGTCCAAATGATTTATGCAAATATAAATACCACAGGAATGCCCTGCTGTCATACCACTCGTGAAGTAAACTGGATCTGTGTTCCCAAGATGAACGTGTGTTGGGGCGAAATGTGCGTCACGAGCCCAAAGCAGAAGCAGAAGACCTGGTAAAGATGAGGCTGAAGCTGGTCAGAGTCGTCTACAGAAGTTGTTCCTCACCAACTGAACGCTCACTCTTTGACTGATCATGACGTCTCCTCTCCATGTGAAGCGAAGCTATAATTTCACAATGGAAGCTTTAATGAGAGCTACAAAAATTGTGCAAGCGGAGAAGAAAATGGACCCAATTACCGACTGACTCGGCAGACAGCTGAATTTGAGGAGCTGCACGTTAAATTCCCTTTAATTTCTCAGTAGATCCATTTCTTCAACAAGATTGCTGTTTAGTCTCGAAGCTTTGAAGAAAGAACTCTTTTCTTTCCTTTCCTGCAGTAGTTTCCGTTGTGGGGGAAACAAAGTGCAGTGTATTATATCGTAACACCAAAGCTACATTTTTATTGTCACCCATCTCAGAGTGAAGAGGAGACTTTGAAATGCTGTCCTTTCATCCGTATGTCCATCTTGTGGGCAAGATAATTTGAGAAAAATGAGGTACCGACGTCCATTTTAGTGTGTGGCTACATCTAGGCATAATGAAGGCCTTCATCAAAAATTGGGTTGCCAGGTTAAAAATCCAAGATGGCTGCCACCATATATACGGTAGATGTAAACCATCCACCCTAGTCAACTTGAAGAAACTATGCTTATAAGCAATATAAAAAGCAAAGTAAAAAAAATACAGAAAGCATAGTTTCCTGAAATAATAAAAGTGGACGGTTTACATACTTGGTGGCAGCCATTGAATTTTGCGTGGTAACCCACTTTTTTTTTTTTTTTATCAAAATCTTTTTATTTTTGATTTTTAACATATAAAACACAAAAAACATAAAAACAAACAAAAAACTCCCACCCCTTCCCTCCCACACCAGATCAGTCCCACACACAAATAAGGCATTGACAAGTTTTCCACATTCATTCAACCTTTATTTAGACAGGTAAAGCTCATTGAGCCTCGAGGACTCATTTACAAGAGAGACCTGATTTCAACAAAGAATGACGACAACAATAGACAGCCACAAAAAAGGCATACAGATTTATTTTTTTTTTACAAATAAGATGGAAAAAAACGGTAACAAACGAACAAAAAAAAAACATACAACATAAAAGGCTGCCAAGTGTCCCAAAATCTTTTAAAAGAACCTTTTAAGGTTTCTCTTATTTTTTTTCCAGATGGCAATGATACATCACCTCTTATCCAATGTACATATGCACAAAACAAGTCTCCTAGCCAAACGAGAGCCAAAAGCAATCACAACCTTCTTGTACTTGCTGAAGGATGTATCCACAGGGACCACCCCGAATAGTGAGATGAGTGGTGATGGGTGTACACTTTTTCCCCATATCCCAGAGAAGGTGTTGAAAATAGATTGCCAAAAGGTCTGCAGTTTGGGACAGGTCCAGAATGTATGCAGGAGTGTAGGTGGAGTTTGTTTACAACAATTACATGCGGGGTCCAGGTTGGCTTTGATCTTGGACAGCTTGTCTTTAGACCAGTGCAGCCGGTGCACTAACTTGAATTGAATTACGTGTCTCAGACTGGTAACCCGCTTTCTGTCGTATTAACTTAAATGATCTACGCCACCATTTGTCACCCCCCTGCCTCCTCCATTGCTCCTGGCGGTGGATAAAATGGCTCCACTCACCAGGATCCAACTCTACGCTGCCTCGGACAAATAAAAAAATAAACTACCCCTGTTCTTCTTCACAGCGTAACTCCTACCCACTTGAATATCCTGCACCAAAAACATTTAAGTTTACTTGCATGTCCTGGTCAATTGCAGTCCAGAGAAACACTCTTCTCAAAAACTACAAACATTCACTCTTCAAATCTCTCAGCAATGGGACATTGGCGTGACGCTCGAGTTAACTTTTTAAGGGAAACCCTAATTGACAACAGCATAAACATATTTTTCATAAAGTATCACAGAAAACTGAAGAGATGTAGAAAATACCAAGAATCAAATGGAGAATAACTTGGGGAACTTGCCTTTTGGACACTTTGAAGACACAAAGACGAGTCCGGTCAGATGATGTTCTGCCTCCTCCTGTCGACTCGTTGGAGAGTCTTGATAAAGAACAGTAACCAAAACATCCATACTAAACGGTGAAAGGATGGTGGGGTTTTTGTTTAGAGTCAATGCTTAATAACGTGAAACGTTCATTTCTACAGTTGTACAATCAAATAACCTGCTTAAACGGACCAAAAATAGACAATTGTGGAGATAAATCCGATAAATGGCAATCTGCCCCATTAGTTTCCATCACAGACACAAAATGACACACTGGAATAGAAATGAGTCATTATTTTAGTCTATAAATGCTGTGGTCTGCAGTGTTTCTTAATCCTGCACACTTGTCTGTAAAAACAGTTAAATCTCTTTCTGCTTTTAGGACCAAAATCAATCCTAAAAAAGGACTTGGGGAAATTAGTTTTGGCTTCAAAGCAAAATTGTCAATTGGTAATTTCTGAACGCACAAACTTTAGTGACAGTCTGCCTGTTTTTCTATTAAACTCGGGTCAGGTCATCGATTCCATCTTTGTTTTTTCATTGGTTCTTCAAACCCTGACTGTCTCATGTGTTAAACTGGCTTTCAAGTGAAGACCAGTAGAAAGATATTTTCAGGTCACCCAAACTTGTGCAGTTTCCACCAAATTGATTTGAGTTTTTAATCCTCTGATGTTGCAGGCATCACTCTGGAGAACGTGTACGACTACAGTGAATACTGGGAGGTAACCAGAGGCTTGTACGCTCCCTTCGACTGCACCGCCACCATGAAGTCAGGCAACGCTGACGTGTACGAGAACGAGATACCAGGAGGACAGTACACCAACCTGCACTTCCAGGTGCACAGCTGAACTTTGGTCACCACCATGTTGGGATTGGTTTAAAAAAAATATGGAATTTACTCTTTATTTTGTTGGTAGCTGCTTATAGTGGACTTTATAGTAGTATTAGCTGAATTTAACATTATATTCAATTCAGTTTATGTATTTAGTGCCAAGTCCCAACAGAAGTCATCTCAGATCACTGTACAAAAAACATTCACACCCATTAAAAACCAATTAATTAGTAAAAGTTGTCTATCTAAGGAAGCAGCAGATTGTGTTGAACCTTCACTTGGTCGCAGTCTCTCATCCTGAGCAAGCACAAAGGTAACGGTGGAAAGGAAAAACTTATTTTTAACTGGAGGAAACCTCCAGCAGAACCAGGCTCGGGACACGCAGCCATCTGCTTTGACCAGCTGGGATTTGAGAGGACAGGAAGGAGGAACAGATACACAATGGCAGGTCCAGGTGTACTTTCTATAGGAGGAAAGACAAAAACTTTAATTACAAATACAAACTGATAGAGTAGAGCAAATAAAGACAGCAGCAGAGTGAGGAAATGTGGTCAATTTGTCCTCCGGCAGTATAAGCCATAACTAAGGGCTAGCTCAGGAAACCTGAGTCAAACCTAACTATAGGATTTATCAAAAAGGGAAAACGTAAGCCTAATCTTGAAAGGAGACAATGTGTCAGCCTCACGGACAGAAACTGGAAGTTGGTTCCACAAGAGAGGAGCCTGATAACTAAAAGATCTGCCTCACGTTCTACTTTTGGAAACTCTAGGAACCACAAGTAAACCTGCGGTCTGAGAGTGAAGTGCTCTGTTCGGAAATATAGTTTTGACTAAGGTATATAGATATTGGTTTTATGGATGGATGGATGGATGGATATTTTTAGGTAAAGTTTCTACAATACTTGGACCTTTTTTAATTATTTTTGGATGTTTTATGTTAATTACAGGAATATAAAAAATATTTTGTAATGAAATTCGATTCAACCTTTGTTTCTACAGGTTAGTCTCATTGAGCCTCGAGGACTCTGTTACAAGAGAGACCTAAATGAAATGAACAGTTAATAAAGATGAAACAAAAAAGAACAAGTATATCAATAAATAGGTTAATCAGGAAATATTAAAAAATAAGTATTTGTAGTAAAATTCCCCCTACGCTAAAAGTTTAAAGTCCAAAACTTTTTTAAAAAGTTATTATTGTTTATGTGAATAGATGTATTTACTTTGTAGGGAAATCTACATTTTAGTAATAAATTAATACAAAAACAACAAAGGGAGGAAAAATAAAACTGGTCAAATTCCCACCACGATCAAACGTCCCAGAACGTTTTTGTGGACTTTTATAATTTATTTTTTTAAACCCAAAAAGTGAATATGCATTTTTAACTGGTTAATGGCGTTCCGTGACGTTTTGCCTCCTAAACGGGGGTCCGATGAAAATCTTGCATTTCCTGCTCATCGCTGCTGTCGTGTGCTTCATGTGGCTCGTTGCAGGCTCACAGCATGGGGCTGGGAAACAAGTTCAAGGAGGTGAAGAAGGCTTACGTGGAAGCTAACAAACTACTGGGAGACCTCATTAAGGTGAGACGAACCTCCACCGTTCTTTTATGGTTTTAATCACCAGGAAGCGTCAGCTCGGATTTGTGTGTGCCCGCAGAACAATAACAATCTGGAAGGTGTGCATCGTTACTTCAAGCGATATTTTTATTTTTAATGATGCTGAGGAAACTTCACTTAACGCATCACAAAGAAAATGTGCATTAATAGGATAACATGTTTAAACTTTGGCCAGTGGCAAACCGTGACACTAGAGCAAGGCCTTCAGCTAGCATACACTATTGTAGCAACCTGATGCTAACGGTGTAAAAACTCAAGATATCTACTAAAAAACTACTTTCAGTTTCACAACTCAAAAACTTACTGAAGAAGAAGTGCTTTCCTCCTTTTTCAATACACCAGATACATCAAATTTGTGTAAGTCCAACCGTTTCTGTCCCGAGACTACCCAGCAGCCCCTACAGCTCACCTAGCCTCTTGTGTTCAAGTACAACATGTAATTTCGATAACGCACTGAAATTTAACTGTAAACTGCAAAGTAAATTACAGAAAATAAGAACATTTACCAAAAGAGAGAAACTACATTGAAAATTTAATTTTACATGAAAAATAAACATTAAATGCAACATTTTAGCCCATTGCTACGAGCCGTTCAGTCCCTATGTGGTGTGAGAGTTTGGATCACATCGCCGGGAGTAAGTCGGACCCCTTCAGGGTGGGAGTTGGGCTCTGCCAGGGCTGCCCAGTGTCACCGATTCTGTTCAGAACTTTTATGGACAGAATTTCTCAGTGCAGTCAGGGGGCGGAGGGTTTCCAGTTTGGTGGCCTCAGGATTTCATCTCTGCTCTTTGCAGATGATGTGGTCCTGTTGGCGTCATCGTGCTGTAATCTTCAGCTCTCACTGGAGCGGTTTGCAGCCGAGTGTGAAGCGGCTGGGATGAGAATCGGCACCTCCAAATCTGAGGCCATGGTCCTCAGTCGGAAAAGGGTGGATTAACTCTCTTCGGGTCGAGGGGGAGGTTCTGCCTCAAGTGGAGGAGTTCAAGTATCTCGGGGATTTGTTCGTGAGTGAGGGAAGAATGGAGCGTGAGATTGACAGACGGATTGGTGCAGCGTCTGCAGTATTACGGACTCTGTACCGGTCCGTAGTAGTGAAGAGGGAGCTGAACTGTAAGGCAAAGCTTTCTGTTTATCAGTTGGTCTATGTTCCTACCCTCACCTATGGTCATGAACTCTGGTAAGGATCCTCCATGGGCGCCTCCCTAGGGAGGTGGTTCAGGCATGTCCAACTGGGAGGAGACCCCGGGGAAAGACCCAGGACAGGCTGGAGAGACCATGTCTCTCGGTTGGCCTGGGAACGCCTTGACGTCCTCCAGGAAGAGCTGGAAGAGGTGGATGTGGAAAGAGATGTCTGGACCTCCCTGCTCAAGCTGTTGCCCCCACAACCCAACTTTGGAACAAGCAGAAGATGATGGATGGATGGATGGATGGATGGATGGATGGATGGAT